TTTCCGTTGATAGGATCTTCCTGTGCAAGTCATAGCGTGAGTCTGTTTCATCTGGGTTCAAATGACAGTCTGACATTTTAACCCAGCCCTGGTACTCTTTGCAGGAGAAAATACTAATAACACGGTTAGTGGAGGGGATTTTCAGGACCATGGGGAGTCACAAAAAAAATGACAAGTTAGGGAATTTAAGGACAGATACAGAGCAGAGAGAAAAGAGGAGTGAAAAACAAATTTCAGGTGAGGAGGATGACTACATATCCAGTATGGATAAAATTGGGAATATGAGACTGATCCCAGAGCAAATGTGGGTCTGAAAAAGCCATAAGGCCAAGGAGAGATGAGAGGTGTTTTTTAAGCTTAAGGATGGTGGGTGCGGTTAAACTATATAAGAGACAGCAATGGCTAACAATGACAAGCCTTGAAACTAACTGAATCGCTGAGGTGAGAAATAACTGGGATTATGGAAGAACAATATCCTAAGTGTTTGAATTCTTTAAGGAATTTCAAAGTTGGTCCCTCGTACTAGAATAAATTGACTAGAGTAGGCGCTTCTGACAAGACAGAGATTTGTGTGCCTGGCAAAAATTCGCTAATTCCTGGGGACTGGTTACATGGTTCAGCTGTTAAGTCCAACAAATCCCTAACACAAAATATCCAGGAAATATGGGACCCCATGAAAGACGAAACCTAAGAATAATAGGCATAGAAGAAGGTGAAGAAACCAATATCAAATGGGCAGAAAATATATTCAACAAAATCATAGAACATAACAATCTTCTGATGGCGATAGGATACAGATGTTGCAATAACAACACACATAAATCTTTGTTACAGTGGGTTTATCAATCAGAATCCACCTCACTGATTTGATCATCATTTGTTACAGAAAACACATTTTTGTGAAGATGAGCTCACCACTGTGGATTTGTAGTCTCACCCTTGCCTTTGCTTTCCACATATCAGCAGCTCAACTCTAGGCTGTTAGCAAAAGAGATGAAAGGAAATGAAATCCCTCAGAACACTGCTGGGTAACATGTAAGGGGAAATGCAAGAAAGCATCCCACATGGAAAGTCCAAGTATTCAGTCATCACAAAGCTGACAGGAACACATGTGTGTCTACACCACTGATGTTCAAGTACACACACTACCATCGATGTTTTAGAAACAAATGTTGCTACAAACATGATTACAGTGATACCTGGGTTAAAGGAAAACATATCAACTGATGAATGAAAATATCTGGGAATGGAGGGATGGTTCAACTGTGAAAGACATTTGGTTGCTCTTCCAGAGTGCTAAGGTTTGATTCTTAAGCATGCATATAGTTCACAAACATACAGTCAAAGCACTCATACTCATAAAACAAATAACTGTTATTAAGAGCCTTATGACATGCAAATTTGGCTTTCACATAGGTCAGCATATCCTCTGCCTGACATGAATTCAGGGTGTTTGGGTGGATGTGACCTGCTTTCCAACACTGTATTCTACCCTCTATGATGGTCAAGAATCCCTGGAATGCTAAGATGACATCCTTGAACCTAACATTGAAAGAATTTGGACATTTCTTCAGGCAGTGATGACAAACACCTCTAATCCCAGCACATAGGAGGCAGAGGTAGGTGGATCTCTGTGAATTCGAGACCAGCCTGGTCTACAGAGCAAGTTCCGGAATTGCCATTGATACACAAAGAAGCCCTGTCCAAAACAACAAAAAAGAATAGAAAGGAATTGGACATTTCTCACTTACCAGTTCTCCTCCTGAGCTGTCAATCGTTATATTTTTCCCACAAATGTCATTTGAAAAATAGTTTTATAATACAGTCCTTTTTTCCGTCATTCCTGGCCTAACAAACCTGACAAACATGATCATGCTTCCAAGTAATACCATCTTGGGGGTCTGTCTCATAACTCAGTTATGTGTTGGTGTCACAGGTAACTCATTACTGTTTATTTTATTCATATATACTTTCTTCTTTAAGCCTCATTTTAAGAAGTTGATTGATTCAATTTTCATGCACCTGACAATAGTTAATGTGCTGATGATCATATTCACATTGATATCCCCTATCATGTCGTCCTTTGGAGTACCCAAATTTCTGGATGATGCTGGCTGTAGGGCAGTGTTATTTATATCTTTGTCATCCTTACTTTGCTCCTGGCTCATTAACCTGCTCATCTATGCATATATGGTTCCAATGGTTATAGCCAAAACCAATTCTACTCACTTTGGCAATGGATATTTGGATCCTTACTGTCAAAACAAGCACTTTGGGAAACAAAATTCAGGGTCATTTTTGAGTGTCATTCTCATTTATGATCTCTTCTACGTGGCCATCATGATGTGGACCAGCCTGCTCATGGTAACTGTCCTCTACAGACACCGAAAGAGAGTCCAGCATCTCCACAGCACAAGCCTGTCCTGCCAGCCATCTCCTGAGGGCAGAGCCACTCACAGTATCTTGTTGATGGTGAGCTGTTTTGTCTTCTTTTATTGGTTGAACAATTTCATCACCCTTTCTGGTTTTTATGTACAAGTAAAAATTCCAAACTGGGAGGGAATTAATGCAATTTTGGGAGCATGCTACCCAACCATCTGCCCTTTTTTACTGATGAAGAATAATAAACTTGTTTTGCAATTCACTGCTTCCTTTTCTGAAAAGAAGATGGCCTGCTTTCAAAGTGCACTCGGTGGCTGA